CTTCCTGTGAATCCACACAGGCGGGTGGGACGCAGCCCTCACTGTAATCCACACACTTCACGTACAAACTAGCACGCGGGGAGCCCCAAGTCATAAAATATTAACTGGTTTGAGGGAAAGAGACAAACGGGAAAAGTCTGAAGAAAAAATTGACTGTCACCACCAGGACTCGAACCAGGGACACTCGCTTGTAGCCAGCGATGCTCTAACCACTGAGCTATGGTGTAGTCGTCATCCCAGCAGAGGCCGTTCAATATTTTCTTCAGACTTCGTAACTCACACTTCCTGTGAATCCACACAGGCGGGTGGGACGCAGCCCTCACTGTAACCCACACACTTCACGTACAAACTAGCACGCGGGGAGCCCCAAGTCATAAAATATTAACTGGTTTGAGGGAAAGAGACAAACGGGAAAAGTCTGAAGAAACAATTGACTGCCACCACCAGGACTCGAACCAGGGACCCTCGCTTGTAGCCAGCGATGCTCTAACCACTGAGCTATGGTGTAGTCGTCATCCCAGCAGAGGCCGTTCAATATTTTCTTCAGACTTCGTAACTCACACTTCCTGTGAATCCACACAGGCGGGTGGGACGCAGCCCTCACTGTAACCCACACACTTCACGTACAAACTAGCACGCGGGGAGCCCCAAGTCATAAAATATTAACTGGTTTGAGGGAAAGAGACAAACGGGAAAAGTCTGAAGAAACAATTGACTGTCACCACCAGGACTCGAACCAGGGACCCTCGCTTGTAGCCAGCGATGCTCTAACCACTGAACTATGGTGTAGTCGCCATCCCAGCAGAGGCCGTTCAATATTTTCTTCAGACTTCGTAACTCACACTTCCTGTGAATCCACACGGGCGGGTGGGACGCAGCCCTCACTGTAACCCACATACTTCACGTACAAACTAGCACGCGGGGAGCCCCAAGTCATAAAATATTAACTGGTTTGAGGGAAAGAGACAAACGGGAAAAGTCTGAAGAAAAAATTGACTGTCACCACCAGGACTCGAACCAGGGACCCTCGCTTGTAGCCAGCGATGCTCTTACCACTGAGCTATGGTGTAGTCGCCATCCCAGCAGAGGCCGTTCAATATTTTCTTCAGACTTCGTAACTCACACTTCCTGTGAATCCACACGGGCGGGTGGGACGCAGCCCTCACTGTAACCCACACACTTCACGTACAAACTAGCACGCGGGGAGCCCCAAGTCATAAAATATCATCCCAGCAGAGGCCGTTCAATATTTTCTTCAGACTTCGTAACTCACACTTCCTGTGAATCCACACAGGCGGGTGGGACCCTTGCCTTCAATTATTATTTACTATTATATGTGTATAACAGTCTCAATGGGCATCGGCCCTTCTTTTTCGGATGCAATTGTATGCTCCTTCTCAAAAAGGACCTGATTATGCCAAAAATTATGCCCGCATAATCCGCTTACCCCTAGCAAGTGCAGCGCTGTGCCGCGAGTCCGCAGCCTTTTCGTTGAAGCATCAACTGATGATGTAATCAAAGAACGTCTATTCACACAGGGGGTGATGAGAATAGCAAGGGCCGTACTAGCAAGAGTACAGAACCAAGAGTGTGAAACTCCTATCTTTAGCTGCGAGGGGTTCACCCACGGCGGAATTTTTTTATTGCCTCATCCTTTGGCAGAAGTATGATGAAGTGGGTGTTTTTCCGGCGCTTGTTTTGTAAATACGGTGAGAGTTCGTCAGGTTCAAGACACGTCGATCTTTCGTCAGTTGTTCTGCTTCTAATACCGTAGGTGTAATGTACACATTATTTGCACTTTGATCTCTGGCTATGCATGATGGCATCAGTGAGCTAAACCGCCGCCAAAGACCATGAAAGACTGATGTCATAAAAGGATTCCGCTGTGGGCTGGGGAATCGTAGAGGTGCACACTCTTGGTTATGTACTCTTGGTACTAGTAATAAATAATCCATCATGAATTATACTACCGTAAAAGTCCGTAAATAAGTACGTATTTACTTTCGAATTTAGTGGCCACACCCGTACTAACTTTCGGGCGGGTACTGACTTTCGGGCACGAACTAACTTTCGGACCTGACTTGTGTGTAGTGGAGAAGTCATTTTCATGTTGATGTACATGCTACGTGCTGCATGTGCGCATCGTACCGGTACTTATTTCGGGCAGTATGTTTATCGGGCTTGACTTGACTTCAACAGACAGAGCCAAAAGAATGAAGGGGGTATTTCTTTCGGGCAGGTACTTATTTACGGACTTTTACGGTATTCATGAATGGATTATGAATGGTTTCATGAATGGATTCACGTTCATGGGTTCAAAAAATTAATTGATTTGTGGGCAAAATCGAACGCACTCACGTGAGTCTGTATGTAGTCTGTAGTCCAGGTCGGATCCGTACTGCGCTCGTTAGCGTGTTCAACTCTCCCAGCACGGCAGCAGCCTGTTGTACTCTTGCCTCTACTCTCTAGGCCGCCACTCGACTCACTACTGGCACTGACGTCGTTTATATATGTTACTGTATACTACCGGTAGTAGACTCTACTACCGGTGGTACTAGTACATGTACATGTAGTACGGAACATTAAATTTTTGTGTTTTATATGCTCGTCGTTGTTCGAATAACCAATCTGAGCGCCGCAGGAACCTTGCCCTTGGCGCGCCCTACGCTTCTTCGTCACCATGGTCACGCATGGGTAGACCATGCATGGTAGACTCCCGATCACAGGAATGGATCTCTCAAGTCTCATGTATTGTTCGGTGGGAACATAATGTTGACTTCAAAAATAATTGAAACATTATTTTTTAAATGTTTGCGTTTGAAAATAATTGGCGGACTACATAGTCATTGTACTCGATCGTAGATGTACGAGTACCTAGACAGCAAGAGGCAAGACTACTACATGACTTTGTAGTATACTTTGTAGTACTACTACTAGTTCATTCAGTAACACTCACTGGAGCAGTGCATAGCCTGGTGTTGGCCATTAGGTATTTCTGGTATTTGCAGATTACTTGTATGGAGTCGACCCTGGTAGTTACATAGAGGAGAGTCGTTTTTTGCTAATCGGTTGACGTTCGTTAGCTAGCGGTGTTTTGATCTTACTCGTACAAACTACCCCAGCGTAGCGTGCACTGTGACCACGGTAAGAGCATGAAAAAAACTGGTACATGTAGACATGTAGTGGAGGAGCAGACAATTGCACAAAATTTAAAATAATGCTGTGATCTAAAATAGAAAGTTCTAGGTACGTACAGAGAGGCAGCTCCCATTTGTATGATGCTTGTCAGTGTTTGTGAAGGTATTGAAACTTGACGTATGAAAAGAATTTATGAGGAAAACGCTGAAATTGCTTTACTCGTAGAAAAAGATTTTAACAAAACAATCAAGCCGTGAATAGTATGTAGCATGATATTTGAACTTGTAGCATATAGCACGCACTGGAGCAGTCATGGAGACACCAGTAGTCTTCCTGTGGAAATGACATTGATTTTGGAGTTTGCTGTTCAAACACGCCGCCACGCAAGCAGTTAGTGACACCCAGTTGGTATATTCTACATTGTATGTGTTCGTGTGTGCGTGTGTGTGCTCTCCGTTACGTATCTCTGTGTTTGTTGCTATGGAGTCTCATATATCTCTCTCTCTCTCTCTATCTCCGTCTCTGTCTCTGCAGAGCAAGCTGTTCAGTGTACTGGACAGTCATATGGAAGAACCATACAAGGTCACTGAGATAGCTCGCCACAGCTAGTCACTATGGACGCTAAAGCCCTCGCTGACCATCTAATCAACTTCTACTCTGGAAAGACAGCAGCACGTCGACTCGCCGATGATGAAGTTGCGGCAAACGTCATGTGCAGGGTGTCCATGGTACAAAGTGGTACTGTGCCGACAAGGCTGAGTGAGGCATCAGGACGGCGCACGGCGTTCGTTGCCGGCCGAGATACTGCCTGCCGCGTTCTGCCATTCAAGTCACCCTATGATGTCCTGCTCGCCCTCGGTTTAACACGCGAGTTCATCACCCTCAAGGTAACAGCTACGGGAAATCAGTACCTGCTTTAAAAAATGGCTAACAGCATCAAATGAGCCTGGAAGTGTTTTCGACTTGTGGGATGCGAGCTACAGTCAGACCTCGCTTAACCGCACACACCCTTTTTCTACGAAATTATCCGGGTAGGTGAGGGAACCGGATAATCGACCACGCATACTGTTTGTATGCATGACATATGCTGTAAATCGATAACCAACGATTTTCTTCCGGATGGCAAGGGATCCGGATAAAAGAGGACCGGATAAGCGAGGTCCAGGATCGTGTAATTTGTATGGGATGTGATCTACCATGCTCCTGTAATGTGTGTAGTATGTGATCTACCATGCTCCTGTAATGTGTGTAGTATGTGATCTACCATGCTCCTGTAATGTGTGTAGTATGTGATCTCCCATGCTCCTGTACTGTGTGTAGTATGTGATCTACCATGCTCCTGTAATGTGTGTAGTATGTGATCTATCATGCTCCTGTAATGTGTGTAGTATGTGATCTACCATGCTCCTGTAATGTGTGTAGTATGTGATCTACCATGCTCCTGTAATGTGTGTAGTATGTGCAGTTGTACACCACTGTACTGTGTGGTGTTAGCATAGAGTATGTTTAGCTATACTGATCTGCAAGCACGTGTAAAAGCGTATACCGTATTTTCCCGAATATAAGTCGACTTCGAATATAAGTCGACCACCCCAAATCCAGGAGTCAATTTCTCGAAAAAAAGTTTTTATAGCTCCATGACACCCACACATACAAAATGATGAGTTCTCTGCGAGGAGAGATCATATCATGCCAGTAAGACAAAATCTGAACAAAACCAGTGTCAGTCGCAGGACGAAAGTTCACATGGTTCATACGGTAGTGCTTTTTTGTACGGACACTCCACTCACTTCATTTGTTGTGCCAGATACCCGTATGTAAGTCAAGTTCCGTTTGTAAGTCGACTACCAGCTTTTGGCGAAATTTCTGGCGCACAAAAGGTCGACTTATATTCGGGAAAATACGGTAAACGTCAACTAGGACAAGTGATAGATATTCGCCATAATCTCTACAATTCCAGTGACATATGACAAGAATCCACCTTTCTGTGGCCAGTGACGTGTACCCAGCCGTCAGCATTACTTGTGATGAACAGAGTGTATGTCTGTGATTTGTGTGGTGATGAACACGGTGGATGTCTGTGATTTGTGTGGTGATGAACACGGTGGATGTCTGTGATTTGTGTGGTCATGAACAGAGTGGATGTGTGTGATTTGTGTGGTGATGAACACGGTGGATGTCTGTGATTTGTGTGGTGATGAACACGGTGGATGTCTGTGTTTTGTGTGGTCATGAACAAGGTGGATGTCTGTGATTTGTAGCAAAAATCTGGGAACGGTGCATACTCCGGAATACGGTTCGTAACACAGGCCTAACCGAACGTCTTTACATTATGCATATTTACTCACAGCTGTGTGACGGTGCTAAGTCTACATCACCCGATTGTTATGGATGCAGAATGATGACGATTTGCAGTGCCTGAAAACTTGATGCGTGTGCTTTGCTTCCGGATCTTTTGCTTGTCCCTGTGCAGTGCGAGGTGGACAAGAATGATGCATGGCTGCTGTTCTTCCAGGCCAAGATTGTCAAATGTGATAACAGTCATCATGCTGCTCTTGCCCAGGCTCATCAACAAGACGTGCCCCATGACAAACCCGCAGACGCTCACTTGCCCAAGTGCGTGCCAGCAACGTGGAGCGGTATCGTGGAGCTCTGCCGCAAGTTCTACCCCGGTGCCGTGCCTGACGTGATGCGGCATCTGAGCGAGTTCCGTGCGCGCTCAGTTGCCGATTACGAGAAGGCGCACGGCGTGAATTTTCTCTCAATAAAACGATCGCCCAGCCAGTTAATGGACTATAGCAGATTCATGGCACTTGCAGCTCCTCGCTCGGCCTGGCAAACGCGTCTTTTTCTCTACTGTGAATTACGCCTCTTGGAGCTCTTCACTGGTCAAGGGTTTACGAAGAATGAGTCAGATGCTGTCACAGTGGGAAATGAAGACCATTGGCCGTGTCTCCGAGAATACGTGTGTGAAAATGGCGAGCTGGCCACACAGCTGAGCTCCGGTACGGCATCTCTGGTCAAACTGCAAGTAGTACTGCCGAATGAACTGCAGTAGTAGCATTTTATTACAATGGTGATGTTTGTTTGAAAAGGGTTTGCTCCCCACACTGGAGCTCATGCTACTAGTATTTGTTTGTTTGTTTAGCTTCATTTTCTTTCACCATAGGCACAGGAGAAATGCCTTCTCACTGGGCGTATTGCCACAGTTCTCGCAAAATGATGGAGATGTTTTTTTAATGTTCACCTTGAAGTTGATTTTGAAGCAGTGAACTCATGATCGTCGTATCATTATTGAAGGAGCCAGGTCAGTTGGTATGATGAGATGGCATCTTTGGGCTAAGTTAATTTATAGTAAAGAAAGGGACCAAGGAAGTACGTTGTATTTCTCGCCGGCCGAGCGCAGCGAGATAGGCGAGAACTGATTTCTCGCGAAATATTTTTTGTTGCAAATATGGCATCTGGTGTGTTCTTTATTGTTGCTTCTTTTCCTGACTTCTTCTGTCAGGTTTGAGTCTTACCAGTGTCCCTGCCCTCCCACACTTCATTTATGTGCTTATTATCATTGCTATTTTATCACTTTTTGCCGTGATGTGCTTACCATGCCTACATGATGCCTAATCGCCATTGGGGATATACACCCGGTTTTTATCCCTCACAACTGTGTACGTCGGCGCGAGGGTTTTTTCCCTGCTGGCTCGGTTCAGAAAAATTAATCTGACGGTCCCAAGTGGTTCTGAATCATGGCCTATTTTTGCTATCCACTGACACGCCTATTCTATCTGAGACACTCTGTTCTCAGTCCTTGCTTCCATACCTCACTCATTATCCGGTTCATATCTGGCTTCGGCCAACTACCCTTCACTTTGTGTAGTGTCGTTATTGCTGTCTATGTCTCTGTGTGTGCCAGTATATGTGGAGCGAGAAAAGTTATGCTATAATGTTCACTAACACCCCAGTTACTTGACAATCAGCTCATGCGATAACATTGCACAAAGCTGACCTTATAATTTTGTAGTCACAAATTCTTTGGTGCTTTTCTTTACTATAAATTATTAATCATTGGCTCTCCTTCCGAGTCTATCTTTGGCCTGAGTGCTTTTTTCCTGAAGTGAAGCAGGTTAAACAACTCCACCAGAATGGAGCATGTTATGCAGTCGACTCCTGATGTAGCGACCACCGTTTTGGAGTAGAATTAGTTCTTTATATCCGAAGTTTGTTTGTGTCGCAAACCACCAATTCTCAAGTGGGAAAGGCCTTCGCGCTTATGGCATTGTATTCGTTGCAATGTTGTATTTCGACTCCGCCGCTGATGTTTGCTGCATGGTATACGCTATATGCGCTGTGTGCGGTTTGCAGTGT